ACCTCTTAATGTGAAGTATATTGAAACAGTTCAGAAATTGAAAGTCTTGATTCAGGATGAGGTGGGAATTCCTTTAGATCAACAACTTCTTATGTTTTGTGGCAAACCACTCAAAGATTATCAGTTATTAAGTGTGTGTGGTATCATAAAGGATTCTACAGTTTATGTCATGATGAATCCATTAGCTGAGCTTCTCATCTATGTCCACATGGCTTGTGACAATACCTTTAGTCTTGAAGTAAAGGCAGGATATACCATTAGCGATGTCAAGGTCATTGTAGAGAGTTTAAGAGGAATTCCTGCAAGTCAAATAAAATTTTTTCATGACAAAGTTGAGCTTCAGGATTGCTTCACCTTATCATTCTACAAAATAAAGCACCAATCTGTTCTACATCTACAAGCTCCAATACAGATATTTGTCAAAATTGTTACCGGAAAGACCATAACTATCACAACTGAAGCTAGCGATACCATTGCAATTATCATGACCAAGATTGCATGCAAGACAGGTTTTATATGCAAGAATTTGAAGCTCATGTACGCTGGAAAGGTACTTCAGGATCAGAATACTCTTTCATTCTATGGTATTAAGAGAGAATCAACAATGTATCTATGTTGAGTCAACAGTCCATCTACCAGCTCGAGCATTCTATGATTGTTGAAACAAGTGGTACTGTTGGTCGATGATTTAAAACTAATCTCTTCATGTGATAGTTGCATGTTAAATTGAGTGGCAGACTTCTCACTTTTTTTTATAGGTGGCAACATCATGACTTCAATTCAATTGTTCTGAATTACTGAACTATTTTGAATGCTGGTGTTGATAATTTATAGGGCTAAGTACTCTAATGATTTCTTTGCAATTTAAGTTGCTACCATTGATTAAAAATCATCCTTCTTCATGCGGGTTGTCCGAGAACTAAGCTAAATATAATAATCAAAGAACTATTTCCACGAGGAATGAGAACCAAGGCCATGAAAGGCTGAAAAACTTAAATTCTATCTGAGCCGATTCATTTGTTTCAATTAAACGTGCATTTTGGTATCACGATATCATTGTGTGGATGAAATATGAGTTACTTCATTGACTCAAAATTACTGTAAGGCAACTTCGGTGATGATTTAAAAATTATTTTTGCTTAGTGATGAGAAAGAATTAAATGGATTTCAAGTTGTTGGAGTGGTAGCAATAGATTTACTAGGTTAAGGAAAAAATTGGCCAATTTCAAAATTGTTAATAGATTTTTGGTAGATCAGATTTTTTTTTTTTTTTTTTT